GCCTGGGGAGGGATAGTGCGTGCATGCGTGGGGTGGTGGTGGTCATGCGTGCATGCTCAGATGGGAGGTGATTGAATTGGTGTGCGCATGCACGCACACAATTTTGGCACGCCATAAGAAAAAGGCTCGCCATCCCTGACCTATATAATTGTATTGAAATATTTCTGACTGCTGTTTCCTTTTGAATAGTATATCAGCAGGATAGTAGCTAGTATTATGTAGCAAATTGGATGTTTTGTTATAATTGAAAACATTTTTCTTTCTTTACAATACATCTACTGGCTAATGTGAAACTTAACTAAAGGAGAAATTAATTTGTTAAGAAAATGAATTATAACTCTGAAACATAATGACTAGAATGTAGGAAGCTGTCACATAATCTGCAGCTTGAACTAGCTAATATTATTAAACAGGCATTGAAAGATAGTGACATGGAGCAAGCCTTGTTCTATACTGTTGTCTCTTTTCTGACATATAAGGATATAATGGTGCTTTTCATGGAACACGGACATTTTTCTAAATTTGATTGAATAAATTTTATAAGTTATTAAAACGAATTTTATTTAAAATCCTTCAAAATGTAAATATGTAATTTACTGTTATATTATCTGTATAAAACTGTAATCAGTTATTTATCTCATAATAAGTTAGAAACTGGGTCTTACTGGGTCGTAGTCTAATTGCCATGGAGCATGGAGTGGTTCCACTCGCATGAGCATCACTGCAAGCATTGTGGGTTGTTCAGCCCCACTCGCGCGAGTGTCATCGCAGGCACTTGCGGGCCCACTCATTCGAGCCTTGTTGCAGACACTCGCAGGCCCACTTGCATGAACGTTGTCACAAATGTCATGGGGCCTCGCTCGCACGTTCACACACTAAACACATATACCCCTGCCCCTCCCACAAAATCTTCCCTCCTTTCCCCGCTCCTCCCGCTCCAGGCTGCCAACCCGGAAATGTTGGGGAATTCTGATACCTTACAGCCAGTGATGGGATTCAAATAATTTAACAACCGGTTCTCTGTCCTAATGACCATCTGGGGAGGTGGGGCTCGGTGATCATGTGACTGGGTGGGC